CCTGGAGAAGTTGAGGGGATGAGGACACTGCCAGCAATCAGGTGAGCTGGTGTTGGGGGAAGTTTCTTCCATGATCTGGGTGAGGCAGGGATGGAGGAGAGTGAGGGGCATGGATTGCCAAAAGAACAAACAAATCTGTTATCAGCGGAAGTGAACCCAGAGTGACCCTTTAAACCAAGTATGGTGAAATTTCATCTCACATATTTCAGGCATGTCATCAGAAGAGGCTGTTGTTGTTATTAAGTACTGTCAAGTCAGAATCACCATATAGCTGACCATGCAGCAGATTTTCAGAGACAGTAAATTGCCAGTCAGGAGACTGCCCATCTTTCTCTCTGGATTTACTGGTGGATTCAAATCACATCTTGGATTAGCAACACAACTCCTTATCACAAAGCCACCAGTGGTCCCTAAAGAGGGTCTAGTCCTAGGGAAAAAAGGTGTCATAATGGGAAAAGTAGAGGATCAGAGAAAAAGGAAGACCTCAGTGACTTCATACAGTGACTACAACAATGAACTTGAATATGACATATGATGGTGGTCATGAGAACGGCGCAGGATAGAACAAGTCTCAGATTCGTTGTACACAGCTTGTTATGAGTCGAAGTTGACTCAGTGACACATAGTAATAACAACAGCATAGAATCTTTAGTTATAGTTACAGTGACTTTTCCACTCACTTCTGTGCTTAAAAGCTCCTGCTCACTTGCAGTATCATTGAGACTAAGACCTTATGGTAAATTTGAAGTAGATATAAATGAACTATCCTGCACTACTCCTCTGACCTTACTTCCTCATTCACTCTGACCCAACATGGTTGCCCACTGCTACTCAAACCCTGTAGGAATAAGCCGACCTGTGGCTGTTACACCCAAGGTGTTCCTCTAACTAGATGTCCTTTACGCTCTCATATCTGCATGCCTCATGTCCTCACTTCTTTTAAATCTTGCCTTCACTTTCTCAAGTATGTCTGTCTCTCTCCTGTTCATGTTATCTAAACTTGCAACCTTTCTCATCATCTTTCATCCTATCTTTGCTTTGTGTTTTTTTTATTCGTGCTTATTACTTTTTAACATGTCATATATTTTATCTTTTATATTGTTTATTTGCTGTCTCCCCAACTAGCATTGCTGTATCTTGTAGCATAAAAGATTCTCAATAAATATTTGCTGATAAATGATTTGCACCACTGCCATTCCATTTGCTGCTATAGAAGACTCAGATGACTTACATTAGGACTTTTCTTCCTCCAAGAAAATGCTTTGTTGATTTTTATTTCTTTTTAATACTCTGTCTTCTGCTTAAAGACTTCAGAAGTGGTAGGCTTGTCAAGTCTGTCTCTGGAAGAAACTATCTGAGCTTGTTTTATCTCTCAAAAGAATATCTTTTCACTTTGTATATAAAATGCAATATTAGAAACAAAAACACCTATCACAGTCTAGAACACAATTCATCTTTGGAGATAATTTTTTGTGAAAACTCTATCCTTCCTTCCCCCCCCCTGCTTCAGAGATAGAAGCTTGAAGGAAAATTCATTTAGGTTGCAATCCACTGATGGAGTAAAGAGTAATGATGCAGTAAGGTTACTATGATATTTGTCCCGAGATGAGGGAGGAGGGGAAAGATATATCAAGCATCTAGCTTTTAATTCAGTGTAAATACAATAATTCACATTCTCTATATTGTTCGACTCCCTCCATCACTTTCCATATTGCACCTTATCTGAAGAATTTGTACTAGTAAAATACCGAGTATCTTGTTCTTTTAAGTGTAGGAAACTGTAAAGATTTTTTCAAATACAGTTTTCAATTCCCCTTCTCAAAAGGCATGCTCTGGCTTGTTTAATATAGCTATTTTCCAGCCACATTGTGACATCTGGATTTCCTGTCTCCCCATACCACTGCTAGCTAGTTAATTATAGTCTGGACAGTGTGAAGCAGATGTTTCTAGAAAAATCAGTGGATGCGGCTTTGAGAGCCTTAGGACTACCTCATACATGGGACAGTTTCTAGCCAGAAACCTATTCTGCATATAGATCAGCCTGAGAGTCACTGTGGTCCCAGATCGTGTGTGCGTTAAAGTGTGAGCACATATGTGTGTCTGCTTTGCAGATAAATCACAGTATGTTTAGAAGTGTAATGATAGAAAACAAAAGCTCCTATAACAAAATATATTTTTGTTTTCTTCAATTCACCTTTGTTTTAACTTGGTTTCTGGGCTATGCTTTGGATACCAGGAACAGATATTTTCTTTCTGATTATATCCTCTACGTATTACCAGCAATATTTCTTTTTCTAGGCCCTTAAGTGAATCTTAAAATAGGTCAAGAATATAAATGTATCTACTTAAACTTTTCTTTATTAATAATCCTTTTCAAAGGCTTAAAAGCCAATAAAATTAATCATATGGACAAATATGCTTTTCATAATTTATTATAATTGCACACTATAACAGAATGGATGAAGGATAAAAAAGAAGAGATCTGTAATAACTGAATGAAGATGCTTTGCAGTACAGGAAATATGCATGGTGTCAGATTCCTTAGACTATTATTTTCACGCTTCTTCCTATACTCATCTTCCCCTAATTGTATACGTAAAACAGATGCTCACCTCTTTTATAAGAAGACACACTGAGATGAGGCAATGTAGTATGCAGTTACAGGGTTTTGTTTGTTTGTTTGTTTTATTGCTGGTGATGGCGTTTGTTTTCATTTAAAAGGCAGATAATCATTGTTAGATGCTAGACCATCTGTTGGTAGTTTTCTGAGGCCTTGCTGAACACGTTAAGAAATTTAGAGTGTGAACTAGAGATAATTAGAGTATCCCTATGCTCTGGTTGCCTAGTGGTCAGACACTACATTGCAATCCCAAAGGTATGAGGTTTGAATCCACCAGCTGCTCTGCAGAAGGATGGGCAGTCTCCTTCTGTGAGATTAATTGCTTCTGAAAACCCACTAGAGGGTCAGCTATGGGTCAATTCCAACTCAATGGTGACAACATTTATAAACTAAGCTGGAGCAGATAAACTCGTAAAGGAACAGATTTAATTTAACACCTATTACTGAACAACTTGTAAGAGGAAACAGAAGTATTGTAAAGGGCTTGTTTCCTTTTGCAATGTGTGTTAGTAACTTATGTTCCTCTTATTACCTATTTCTTTCTGTGTACCTTTCTCTCACCATGTCACTCTGCTGGGTTCCTCGGTTTCGTCACTTCTGCTCTCTCTCATCTTCCATTACTTTAAAAAACTAGTCGAATTCATCATGAGGTAGTTTTAAAACAGAGGAGAAAATGTTAGTAACACTTTCAACCAGGTAGACTTTCCCCTGTGTTTGTGTTTGTTATTTGTGGATACATGTAGGAGATTGTTGTTGTTAGTAAGCCATTGGGTCACCTATTATTGATGGCTACCCTGTGTGCAATAGAACAAAGCAATGCCTAATCCTGTGCCATCCTCATATTCTTTGTGGTGTTAAGCTCATTCTTGCAGCCACTGTGTTAATTCATGTTGTTGTAAGTCTTCCATTTTGCTGACCCTCTCCCTTACAAAGAGGCTAAGCTGGAATATTACATGGCTTTACAGAAAGTGGGTTTAATAAAATTACTTTCCCATTATTTAGTGATGACTTGAGAACTCCTGATTAAACATTTCAAATGCCTGCACTGGCAAGTGGCTGATTATCCTCAGTGATGACCATCTGGCTTAGCATCTTAAGCTCTGGACTGTGACTTAGAAACAGTATTTTAATGCTCGTGAGTCTATCTTCTGTTATTGATGCCAGCTGAGCCCCCATCCATAAAATGTGAATAATAAACTGAACTACTCTCGTAGGTAAAGGATAGTAATAAATTCTTCCCGTCATTTTAAAGTAATATAAATATATCGTAGAAGGGATGCATTCTAAGTACTTAAATATATATATATATATATATATATATATATACTGTTTTAGATTACTTTGAATGTGATTAGTTTGGCAATTAATTCCTTAGATGTGTGTATGTATGTTGTATGTATGTATATTTGTCTTAGTATGATTAAATCAATGATTCTCAAACTTTTCAATAGTAAGACTCTCCCATCATGAACTACATATTTAAGAAGATCCTATTAACTCCAAAAGTATACTTATTAATAATTATTAAAGTTATTAAAATAATCATTGTCAGATTTTTTAGTGGTCATATAGTAATTATTATTTGGTTACAATTTGATATTGAAGAAAAATCCAAATTTAACTTTATTGGTAATTGTAAATAAGTTTAGGACTTCCAGGGATCTAGGGCAATGCACACCTAACAACTTAGTAAAGCTTTGGTAAATGCAGCCTTAAATGTAATGCCTCTGGGAAAACATAGACCTTAGAAAATTAGAATACAGTGTTATTCAGATTTTTATGAAATATTTGGGTTTATTATTCCAGCAAAGAACTTAAAAATAATAGAGCTATTGTGCACACAGATGTTTTTTACAAAAGGAAAGGAAATAATTTATGTGACTGAATAGGCAACATCTTCTGTAGTGATCGTGTTGCTTCAGTGAATGTGGTAAATGGATCATTGTACATGATCCCCTTTCTTTATGCCTACTGGTATACAGCTGAGAACAGTAGCATGACCTTTCTTTTCTTAGGAGGAACACTATGCATAAATTATTCTAAATCTTGTGGCCTGGGGGTAAGGAGCTACACTGCCAATCTGAAAGCATGTCACTCAAGTCTACCATCTGCTCTGCAGGAGAAAGATGGGCTGTCTCCTCTTGTGCAATCTATTGCCTCTGAAAACCTGCTGGAGGATCAGCTATGGGTCAGTTCTGACTAGAGGCTGCATAACAACAACCACATCTTTAATTTTAAAAAATGTGGATCAAGTTTACTGAATTACTTGTCACTTCTAAATGTCTTACTCATCTCTTTCTAGGGTTAATTAATATCTATAATCAAAGCTCTATGATTCCAGGTCAAAACATTAAATGATAAGTAATATTTCTTTTCTTAGAGACTGGCTCTCCGATCACTGCTTCGTGTATTGGACTAGGTAATTCCAAAACACCTCCACCCGGGCAAGCAGGAAAAAGTGTTCCAGGATACAATGGTAAGTAATCACCGTGAGTTTTAAAAAATGCAATGTTCATATCCTTGGTATTTTCCTGTGCCTGTGCCTGTGCCTGACATTGAAAACTGGTGGCCTAGTTCGAAGGAGTTGTGTTGTGACAGCATGATGGTTAAATTCTTTCCCTTTGAACTCTAATTCCTGGTTCATATAAACTTAAATCATCTAACTTTCAAACATTTTAAAAAAATATTTTGAAAGAGTTCTAATACTTTTTAATGATTGTTGTTGTTAGTTGTCATCAGTTTGGTTCATAACAACTATATATACAACAGACAAAATTATGCCTATACTTAAAAGCGCTGTGGTGAACCATCTGGTGAAGGTTTCCCTCTTTTTTTATTGGCCTTAACAAACTTGATGTTCTTCCTGTCCTCTCCTGTAGCATGTCCAAAGAATATTAGACAAATTTTTACCATCCTCCCATCTACCGTGATTTTTTTTTTTATGTGCCTTCAAGGGGGAACTGACAAATAGCTGCCCCTCCAGTGGGTTTTCAGAGGCAGTTTAATTATACAGATGGAGATTACTCATCCTTCTCCTGCAGATCAGCTGGTGGGTTTGAACCACACGCAATACATCTTCTTATCAACCACATCATATTTTCCAAAACAGATTTGTTCATTCTTGTAGTTCATAGACTATTCATTAGTTTTGGCTCTCATTTTAACTAAAAGACATTAGTTCTTCTGAAGTATCCTTTATTTACAGTTGTGCTTTCATGTGCTTTTGAAGCATTTGAACATATTATGATCTCGGTCAGGCACACTTACTCATCAGGTTACATACTTTTTCAAATGTTTTAAGATGTTGTTTGTTGTTGTTATGTGCCGTCGAGTCGCCTGCGACTCATAGCGACCCTATGTACAACAGCCCTAAACTCCGCTCTGATCACACTGTCTCTGACACTCCCATCCCAATTAATCCAGTCACTGAATCAATCCACCTCATAGAGGGCCTTCCTCTCCTGCGCTGTCCCTCCACCCTCCCAAGTATGACGTCCCT